CCCCAAAACCCCAAAACCCCAAAACCCCAATTACATAAAAATAGATGAAATGACAATAATAATTTAATACATTATTGCATTCATGGAGAATTTAAACTACAAAGGAGAGTATTCTTCAAGCAAAGCCTATGCTTCTCCTCTTTCATCAACACCGATACAGAACAAAGCTGGGGTGAATTTTATAAATACGTCTGATGCTAGTAACTTTCTGCATGAAATAATTGGACTCAAATCGGCTTACGGCAGCCAGATGAGCAATAATAATCCACACTCCTTAACACCAAGTAAAAATAAAGGGAATTCTTCAGTGTCTAATATAAAGTTTGGCAAATTGACCATTCAAAGAGGAACAAGTAAGGAATCACTAGACTCAGCAGTGGCGATGTCTACTGACCGGAAGAAAACAGTTGCCAAACTACTTAATTTTACCAGAACTCCAGACCAAACCACGAAGTCATCAAAAGGTATGAAATAATGAGGATAAAATGTTAATGATGCTTATAGGCAAAGGTTCTAAAATATTCTCCAAATTCATGACTCCTCGTATAAAGAACTTTGGAGGGATCCAGAGCAAGCACAGGCTAACATCAGCATCTAGAGTAGGGTGAGTTATTTATTAATTAACTTATAGATCAAGAAAGGATCTCTTACCAAAGCCACTATTTCAAAAACTTGGCAAGAGTCGGCATCAACGAAAGAACACAAAATCTCCGAAAAAGCAGACTGCAAGCAGTAAATCCAAGAAAAGGCTTCATGCCTTACCAAAAAAGAAGAGGGCTATAACTCCTGTGATTCAGAAGAAGAACGTACTGACGAGTAACAGGTACAACAAAACTCGGAATCATGCAGAGAATCACCCATTTTTATTCTCGAACCAAGATACATACACTGGGTTGTCAATCCAGAAGTGTAATGAATCTGATGAGCTAGAGAGCATAGAGCAAGATATCGCTGATCTTGATAAACTCAAGAACATCGGCAAGATAGGTGACCAATTCGTCTTTGAACTTGATGAAAGTGAGAAGCGGCAGAGAGTTCCTCAATTCGGCTACAAGGAGTATGATGGCTTTAAAAATGCATTCAAGAATCAGCCTAAGCAAGCGAAATCCTACCAAAAGACACTGAGCAGTTATGAACAGAAGGTACCTTTTGACCAGGAGATTGTGAGCATTGAGGAAGCAGAGAAGAAGAAATAAAATTATGGAGTATCTCAAAATTGTCAAGGATAAGATTTCTAGAATGGAAACGAAACTGACAACATCTAAGAAAGAAAATAACTTTTACAAGCAGAAAAATGCCGAGCTAGAAGCCCAGCTGAATTATTACAGAACAAAGTCACTTGAGTTTGAGAATTCCAGAGAGAAATCTATTGAAAAGGAGAGAGTCATGGCCATGAAGTACGGAATCATTCTTAGTCAGAACAAGGAGTTATTAGATAAATGTAGACAACTCAAAGCTGAAAATGAGGATCTAAAGATGCAGTTACATGATAGGAGGAAGAAGGAGTCTCTATCAGATGCTATGTCTAATGGTTTATCTTCTAAGGTACTTAATAAGTCTACTCAGGATTATAAAAGAGATTACTCTAGCCCTATTATGGATAATAATAATCCAAATCGACATTCTTCAACGACTTTGTCACAAAATTTCAACGACTTTGAGAAATCAATCAAATTAATAGCTAAGAATTTAGACAAAAGTAATGATTTCGAGGCTGCTAAAAGCCTGAAAGAAGATCGACCAGGTATGAAACCTCTCGTTTCATCTAAAGAAGTCAATTCTGACGCTCAGGACCAAATGGCTTTACAAAAGTTGCTCCATATTCAAAAGTTTTCCTTGAGTTCGCTTCCTGAGAACCAACAGGCTATTATTAACAGTATGATCCAAAGACTCTTGGATAAGGAAAAGTTAGGAGGCAAAGGCCACATTGAGTAAGACTTTGCTAAAATTAGCTACTATTTTGTAACAATATTCTTATTTCAACACTTCTCGGATGTAAAGGGGTTTTGGGGTTTTGGGGTTTTGGGGG